AACAAATCCCATAAAAAACAAGCCATTTCTTGGTTAATGTTAGTAGACTTTGGAACATTGCATGCCAAGAGATCTAATTGAACCAGATCATTGGTTTCATGGAGCCACAAATCAATTTTTAAAGTACAATGCTTCACCATACTTGAGACCAAGGTTCTCAAAAGCGGTTGCGGTCGCCATAACGGTGGCGGTGGCACGGTTGTGGTATGATTGCGGTAACTGGAACTGTGAATTTTTTTATTGTCGCACAATTTGAAAAAAACTTACTGATACGCATATTTTTTTTTCCATGACCATATTTATTGGGTTTAAAATAAATATTGATCAATTTTTGTAAATTTTTAAGTATGATCCAATATATTTTATATTTTTAAATCACTATAAATTGAGTTTTTAACATTTTATTTTAATAATTAATGATTTTATATTATACAAAAAAATCAATCATTAACTATTATATATAAGACAAACAATGACAAAAGTAAGAGAACAAATAAGAGCCTAAATATATATATATATACACATATTTTAACCACACCAAATAGATAATAACTACACTTATTATTATTATTATTATTATTATTATTATTATTATTTTCAAACAATATATAGATAGACACACAAAAATAAAATGGTTGAGTGATAACAGCTGAATAAAATAGCATAGGTCTTACAGTTTCAACAAATCAATAAGATGTTTTTCATCTTCTCTCTTCTCTCTCTATCTCTTGCTCCTCCATCTTCTCTCTTTATCTTCCTTCTTCTCTCTATCCCTCTTCCCCCTCTTCCCCCATATTTAGTTTTTTTTTTTTTTTTTTGTTTTTTGAAAGAAGCAGTCCAAAATCGTTACGTAACTGTGCGTAATAGGCCGTTACGACTGTTACGGCACCGTTACGACCGCTACGGCACCCGCTACAACCGACACACCTGTGAATCTTAATCACACTGCAAAAGCGGCCGTAACGGATAGCGGTAACCACCACAACACAACCGTTACGTAACGGTTGCGGCCGTTTTTTAAAACCTTGCTTGAGACTCAGTCTCTTGTGCTATTCTTGTCAAGATGTTAAGTTGAATAAAGGATGGACCGTCGCATTCAGAAAATGACTTGCAAAACTTAAATCTGTAAGCTTTTTCAATCTATTTGGTGTAAAATAGTTTTTGAATTCTTGGTACAACCAAACACCGAAAAATACCAAAATACTTTATGTCAAAACAAAACAAATGGAGATTCATTCAATTTAAGATTCAACAACACGAATCAAACCGTTTTGGTTAGAAACTCATCGAATCGTACGAATAGAATCATGAATCTTCTAAAACAAACCATGTTCACAAACAAACATTAGTTTATTATACACAAACAATCATTCACACAATCCTACAAATATGTAATATGCTTATATATTGTATCCTACAAACATGTAATATCCTATAAACATTCACAAGATAATGCAATGCAGATTGCTCTTATTGTTGTCCCCCGGTTTCCTTAATTTCACCAATGGTTTTTAGCTAATGTCCTTTCTAGTTACAGGTCGGCCACCTTTAGAGGAGGTTTTGGAGGTGCGGAAGAAAAAGGTTTGGATACACAAACCGCCTATGTTTTTTTTCCATTCAATTACCCATCAAATTATTAAAAGTTGCATGAATCTAATTATGATTATGTTCAACTTGAGGTTCTATTTTTCTTGGTTTAGGCAAAAAAGATGGTTTGGGACCTAAGAATTAATCCAAGACAACAAAACATTAGTGGAATACCGAAATTTTAATGTTCCACCAAAACATACCGAAATGCAATAAAACACACTGAAAATCTATGATGTTGTTTTGATACCACTACTAAAAACTTGACTTTTTGCGACGGTCTCAAACGTCGCAAAAGGTCCATATATCGTCGCTATATTAACACTTCCTATGGCAAAGCCAAAAACCAAGTCTATGGCTTATCACAATGCAGAGCCGAAATCAAACACACACCAACACAAAATCAATATTCGCACAAATCAAACACACACCAACAGAAAATCAATTTTCACACAAATCAAACACACAAACATTTGAACTGTTCTATTCTTAATGAAAAGAGTTTCAATGAATTGATGAGCAGGGAGAAATAGATGATAGAAGGCCAGAGGAGAGAAGATGAAAGAAAATAAATGCTATACCTGGATGCCGGAGGGAGAACTAGAGTGGCGCTGTTGTTGCCGCTGCAAGACAGACAGAATGACGACTGGGTGAGAGGGAGGGTCTGCGTGAGCAAGAGCGAGAGATCGCTGTTGTTGCCGCTGCAAGACAGACAGAATGACGACTGGGTGAGAGGGAGGGTCTGCGTGAGCAAGAGCGAGAGATAGAGTGACGACTGGGTGAGAGGGAGGGTGAGAGGGAGGAAGGGAGGGAGAGAGCAGTGAGATTAGGTGAGATTAGAGTAGAGTATCGAAGGGAGAGAGCATGAGATAGAGGTAGGGTTTTTTATTTTTTTTGGTTCCAACAAATTACAGATAATTTGGGGATTTTGGGAAAGAGGCAGTGGGAGAGAATTTTGGCGCCAATTTAGGAATACTATTTGCGACGATATTAAGGCCCGTCGCGAGTGAATGAGAAAAAAAAAAAGAAAATTGCGACGGATTGCCAAAAGAGCGTTGCAAAAAAAAAATTAAACCAGAAAAATTTTGCGACGTTCAACGTGCCGTCGCAAATAACCTTACTTTTTGCCACGCGCCTAGTTTTTCCGTCGCAACAAAAATAATTTCGCGACGTCATTAAATACCGTCGCAAAAACATGTTTTTTGCGACGGCACTTTAACCGTCGCAAATAGTTCCGTGGCAAATGCCCCATTTTCTAGTAGTGTACCTATTAAGAATATTTAACAATGCTCATTTTTATTCTTCTCTTTTTGTCAAAAAGAAAATTTTGAGAGTAAAAGAAAAGTATTTAAAAAATTAGAGAATTTGAGGAGCTAGATATAAGAAGAGGAAAAGATTAATCAAACATGATAAACTCATTTCTTTTCATTCCTACTACAGTATTTTGCATTTTTTTTTAATGTTTTTTTTTCTTATAATGGCAAACCTCTTCCCCAAACTAAGTGGTTTGGAGCTTATAATATTGATAGACTTCAACATGTTCAATTATTTAAATTTTAAGAATGAACATTTATGTAAGTTTTTGTTTTTGTTTTCAAATATTTTCAACCATTTTCATTATTTTTTCAATGTTTCCGAAATGTTTCCGTTTCCAAGCTAACCAAAACAACACACTGAAATGAGACTTTGATTCTCAAATCCAATGATGACTCTGTGTTTGTTGTTTTTTGTCCTTGATAGGGTGAAGCATGCAATGACAGCAAGGTTTGCAAGATGTAGGGTTTCCTAGTAGTTGCTGTCAGTCCGGAACGAAGCATCGTGAAGAATGAATAATTTTTAGAGTTGTGGCTTCCATATATCTCTCTCTTCTATAATTAGCTTAAGTGTGAGTTCATTTCTATAATTAGATTCAATCAGAAAAGGATTGATAATCTGTATTTTTTAACAATTACTGATTTCCACCTCATTGTTAGGAAAAGAAAAATGTAGATTTGCGTATAAGTTCTAATAAGTAGACTTATTATCTAATAGGTCCTATGATAATTAATGATATTTTTTTATTATATATTATTAAAAACGTCACTAATTGTTAATTTTTAACGACAGATTGAAAATTTTATTAAAAATAATGTCACTAATTATAAGTTTTAGCGATAATTTAAATTTAACTCTCAACGATAGTTTGAAAAATTCGTCACAAAAAAAATCACTAATTATAAATTTTAACGACAAATTATAAAAACCGTGACGCAAAAAGTCACTAATTATTAATTTTTAGGGACATGTAAAAAATCGTTACAAAAAATTATTTTTAGCGACAATTATGCTATGACTTATTTTCAATAAGACTTGATGAAAATTAAATCCAACTATTATGATCTATTGATAGTTTACCCAAAAATATATATTAGATCATTCTCTCTCACTTTTATTATGAAGTAATTTGATCATAGAATCAAAATGTTCATTACAAATCGTATTTATAATGTCCATATCTATTCATTAATATATCATCTTCGGTTCCAATTACTCTGTTTGATTTTGTTTTTAGAATTTGTTTTTTGAAAAACATTACAAACTAATTTGGTGAAATTTGATTGAGGAAAAACGTCAAGGAAACCAAGAAGTTAACCTCTTCTTGGAATTTTATAAAACACTGCACCAGAAGATCAATGATATCACACCCCAATCAGCATGAAAAATAAATAAATGATTAATACAGCAATGAGAACAAAACAAACAAAAAAAACAAATGTTTCTTTGTGGGAAAAATTTATCAGTTCTATTACTTTATATTTCTTTCTCCCATTGTTTTTAGCTTTCCCAAATAAAAATATTCTTCTATGTTGTTCGATATTTCTTGTGTTTTCTGTGATCTAGGAATGCAAAGAGCAAAATGTTGAAGGGTATTTTTGTATGACCTGGAGTTTAGTTAGTTTTGGCAGATGAACTATATGTCTCTAGACTTTAAAGTGGTTTTAAGAAAAACAAGTGAAATTGAACTGACCATCCGAGACCGACCAAATTTTGGGTTTTGATCAGTTATTTATAAGGTCTGGTCTGATTGAACCGACTAAAATATTATATTTAAATAATTTTTGTATTATAACTCTTTTGAGCATTAGAAGATAAGTGGTCAACACTATACATTTCGCAATTAGAGAAGGAAACATTTACAGAGCTGCCCCCACCATCTCCCTTGCTTTGAATCACTAATTTATACTAAATTGAAAAACCGATAAAACCAAACCATAACATGTAGCCGGTTTCAGTTCGTCAACTAGCAAAACCGAAAGGTTCAGATCGGTGCTAAATTCTGTCCGTGCTTAGCATGCATAATTAGTACTTTTACTACACATAAAGCACAGAGAAAATAAAGAAATTAAGAAATACCAACTATAAAGCACAGAAAATAAAGAAATTAAGAAATACCAACTGAGGAGCTTTAAGCCAGAAGGTAGTAAAACAACTGCATCCTAACAAGAGTGCTACCTTTTACTGACAAATTAATCAAAACATAAGTGTGATTTATCATAGTCATTTATAAACAATCAACTCTATCTATTATATAAATCTACCATAAAATAAAATAAAAAAAAGTTGACACATTACAACTGCTCACAATCCTTGCCGGGCAGCACCTAGAAGTCTTATATATGGAGTGTAAATTGAAGCATTCTTTCTGCACAGTCCACTAATGAAGTCTCTGCTTTTTCCGATCGTGATCCAAATCCTCAACCTCAATCCTCTTTCTCAGTGAGAATCTCAGCACGACAGATATTTTTAACCATTTTCTTCTTTGGGCTTTATCAATGGTGACAGCCTGAGACTCCTCCAAATGTTGATTAAAATGTTTACCAATATCTTGACACATTGACACAAAATCCAACATTTGGTCATTTGGAACTTGGCGTGTGGCTTGTGAATGCTCACATCGAAGTTCCAACGTTCCATATGTGAACTCCATATCGCCAATACCAATCATTTGACAAGTTCCAATGGAATTATTGGATGAAACAATACCCTGAGAAGTACTTGGCTGCGTACGATCATATCCAGCAATCATGTGAGGTGTACCAACATTAGGACTACTAGGACTCTCCATCCAGGTTGAATTTGGGGGCGAATTATCATCATAAGGGACTATTTGGCCCCGGTGTTCAAATGCAGATACTACCAATTTCTGGGCATCAGCCTAATACCATAATCAATCGCAACATGTCAGAAGTAACAGAAAATATGGACAGAAAGAAGAAACTTCAGGTGATAACTGGTAAGAAAAGTGTACCTTTTCTGTTTCAGACAAGTTATCAATAGGAATGCAATGGCATCCAGAGACTTTTGCCACTACTTGTCCAACAGCATTGAAAACTACTCGAGTTTCTTGTTGAGAACTGGGAGGAGGGTAGATAAACCTCTTGTCGAGTTGTCTACAGGTAAGAGCATGTTGCAAGGTGACTTCCAATTTCATATCAGTTATGCCATTGCCAAGGATCTGCATAGGTGCCAACAAACAAGTAATTTGATTACTTTTATAGGCTGAAGAAGAGCAAAGTGCTTTGTCCTTCAGCAGAAAGGAGTGTCGAAAGCATTTTTAAGTGTCAACAAAAATATCACAAGGTTATATAAATACGTCTATATAATTGAATGCAAATATATAAACAGCCTCAGTTTTACTGTAATTTTGATTTGGTTTACTGTTTCTGTAACACCATCAGTGTTTTTGCATGAAATATGCGTGCCTTCGTTCTATGTTTGAATGCTTTAAGTAAAGTTAGTCTCTTTGATATTTGAAATGCTTTGTGGTATGCTTTGTTATGAAGTGAATTGAAGTTCAGAGGTATAAGATTGAGAAAATTCTCCTTTGAATATAGTATGCTAATATGTGCTCTTAAATCCTCAATCAAGGTGCTTAATTACATTGGTCTAATGTGCTAGACAATTTTATGTAAATTAACTTAGATTGAGAGAAAGAATTCTTCAATTAAGATTGTCACCCTAAAATTTGTTTGATTGAGAATTGTACCAATGTGCATTGTCCTTTTTATGTTATGTAGGCCAATAAACTTGTGGACTAGCTTACTTTCGAGAACTCAAGGTGAGTAGTGTTTCTTCAAAATTAGCTTAGTTCTTCAAAGTTAGCTTTGAATTTCTATTTTAAAACCCAAAGCTATATTTTGTTATATTTGTGTTGAAATGCTTGAAATCAATGGATATCCTATGTTATCTATGTTTAGAATATACACGTGCATCCTCAGTTGGTCCTGGCTATTAGGGGACAAAATATGCACTAGTAGCATGTGGTTGAGATCTCCATTGCCATATTTGTGTGGGTTTGTTTAACCCATAAAATGAAATGTATATGATGTTGCTGTGTTCTAAAGTTGATTAAGCCTCTTAGTTGTAGTTGATTAAGCCTCTTAGTTCAACTATACCATTATCATACAAATGAAGATATCCATACATTCTAAGGCTTTGATTTAACGCTATTTATGGGGCTTTAGCTCACCCCTCTTCCATATATGTATGTAGGTGAAAAAGGTGAATCAGGCTTGTGCCAGCTTTGTGTACGTATATGTATATGAAAATGACATGCAGATCTACATGTTTTGCCTTCTTGAGAGAGAAATGTGTTGTCAAGACCTTTTGATAAATGAGATGTCCAGTTCTTTTATTTTAAGTTACACTACATTATGACCAGTTTAGAATGTTGTAATAATAAATAAGAAGTGATTTCCTTTCACGTCATCTAGCGCGCACTTGCTCTAAATGGATGTTGTGGGATTAAACAGTTTAAAAAATTTAAAGGCTTCTGCTATTGGCGATAATTTTTCCCCAACTTTCATCAAGATTGCTATAGAATTGTTCAGCAAGGCCTTTGGTAGTTTATGGCTACTGGTTGGTAACTACCCTATCTTTGTTTGGGGCGGATGGGTCGTGACAGTTTAATACTGATTTCACCCCTTAACTTCATCAGCATGACATTTTCTCTACAAAACACTACATCAAAGACAGAGACACAGATGTCAGCATTTACCATGAATAGAGGCACGTATTACAGTGTGATAACATTTTAATATGAAGGTAAAAATATGGCCACATTGATAGATGTTCAAAACAGGTACAACTTTGGGTGTCCTAATCAGAAAACACATTAGGCATGCAAATGAAGATATCCACAGATCATGAGAGAAATATTGTCCCTTAACCCATTCTCTTGAGCAACAGATATGCCACTTGATTTTTCAGTGTTTATAATGAAGAGGAAGTGCACGATCATGAAATTATCAACAGAATTTGCAAAATTAAACTTTAAAATGCATGGAAACAAGTTTATCACCAACTCAACCTTCAAAAGCAACATTTAGTCTAGAGAAGGCAGTGCCTTGCATTTAATATGACCCACAAAATACAATAAGTAGGGTATACAACAAGCAAGTATTTAAAGGTAAATAAACTATGGAAGAGCAATAAATTCTTACATCTCGGAGCCCCTGACGGTCCATTACACACTTTTTCAGAAAATCCTGCACAGTTACGATGTTTTCCTTACTCAGACGCTTAACAATAGGTCCACTTCTGCCAATGTTTTCTAGCCGCCATACCTTATCAGTTAGAGATGGAGGGTAGTGCTTCTCATCCCCTGCAAACAAAAACCAGAAGTTATACTGCACATTTTCCAATCCCTTACTAACTCATGTTGTGTAATGAATACCTTCATTCTCTGATCTTGCTATTTTCAGTTTCATAGGCTTCTTAAGGATGAATGAAAGCAAGCAAGTCAAGAAAAACGGTTACTATAATTAATAGAACATATAGTTTCGTAGTTATGACTAGAATTATTCAATAAAGGAAAGCTGTTACGGTAAATAGGAGTAAGAGCTTATTAGACAAAGCATCTAGCTGACATTAATTATTTTATGACTTATGATAGGAAACTGGAAAACAAGAACATGAACAAAACTTAATGATGTATAGGCAGAGAAGGGAAAGAAACAAATGTTATTAAACTAAAGAAATTTTAATGTAAAGTCAAAATTAATTGAATTTAAATATAAATATAAATAAAAAGAAGTAAGATCCTAGAATGTACAGTCTGCAACATGTGGGCACCCTGACACTCTAAGCAATCCAATAAGGCAAATCAAATTATTTAATTATCATTCAAGACTCAGGGTATGAAACCTAGAAAACCCAAAAAAACATAATTGTCTTTTGAGAGCCAGAAATATTAAGCCTTGAAGAATCATGAAGTTGTCAGATGGAAACTAACAGACTTATACAATGAACGATGACATGTACTACAAGACATTATAAGGTGAAAATAACAGTTCAATGTGAGCATCACATTTTATGTTCTTCACAAAAAACAGATACCAGACATTCAATTCTTACTATTCCTACTTTCATGACACACCTTCAAAATACTAACAACAGGATTAAAGAATGACATCTCAATTATAGCCTTCTCTTGGATCGAATTTGATCTGATATGAAATCAACCACGTTAGAAGGTCTTTGTTTTGAAATATGGAGAGAAGCACTCGAGTCAAAATGGTTATTAATTAGAAATAAAACTCAATATATGGAATGTAATTTTAGTGGCATTAAAAATGTAAATAATGGAGAAGTAAAGATTGAAAATCAGAAGATAAAAAATAGTAAATATTTTCGTTACCAAGGTTCGATTAATAATAAGGATGGTGAGGTTGGAGATGATATGATCTATAAAATCAAAATAGGTTGGCTGAAGTTGAAGGGTGCATCTGGTAAGTGATCAATGAATTCCTACAAAATTAAAAGGAAACTTTTATATAACAGCTATAAGGCCAAAATGCTTTACGGAACAAAATGTTGAGCAACTAAGAAATAACAAGTACATAAAATGAGTGTGACTGGGATGACAATTCTTAAATGAATGTGTGGTAAGACTAGGAAATATAGAATTGGGTTGGGTTGGGTTGGTTTGGTTTGATGTATAGACATCACAAACTTTTTTAGCATCATCACAAACCAATTCTTGCCCATGTTCTTTTCTAAAATACAAGATTTCGAATAATGGATAGTAGAAAAATGCAACAAATCAGAACCACTTACGTTTGTTACGGAAATCCTTTAAGAAGAAGTGCTCGGACTTTGCTTCTCTTACTTTAGTCCCATTAAAATTATCCACAATTCGTGCTCCCAGCCTATACTCACTTTTTTTCATCCAACTTGATCTATGCACAAAAGAAATCTCATCTAATGAGCCAATGCCTTCTTTCAGATTGAGAAATGCATTTCTAGTTAGAATAGCTTTAACAATCTTTGAGTTGAATTCTTCCTGTGTCCATTCATCTTCTTCATCCTTACCAGGATCTCTCGGAAGAACTAAAATTTCTACTTTTGCAGAGGCTTCAGCCCCAGATGTGACAACTTGCTCTTTATCATCAAATAAACCTATTCTGACAGAGCTACAGTTTTCTCCTTTAATGTGGCGTCCTGTCACTAACAGCGAAGGGAGTTTGTCTAGGAACCGTAGCTGCATTCTTCTAGGCTCAGAACAATGTATCTTATTTCCAGAGTTCCTGAATAAGAATTGTGAGGATATGTCAGCTATACATTAGTCATTGACAAGGGTGTGTTCACTATTACTAAGAGAGAAGGGTGGGTAAACTTGATCACCTTTTCACTAGGAGAAAAGAGAGGAGAACAAAATAGTAACTGTTTGGTTGTGTTTTCATTTTCCCTTTTCTCTTTTCATTTTTCCAAAAACACAAAAAACTTGTTTAGGTGGCATTTGGAAACATTTAGGTTGTTCGTTTATGTTTATAAAAAAATTGTAAACCAATTTTTATTTAGTTTTTATTTAATTTTAGAAAAACAAAAAATGTAAACATGTTTGGTTTGAACAAAAAAAAAAAAGTTTGTTTCCTTCTGCTTTGGCTTCAGAATGAAACTCCTGGGGTTTGAACTCTTGACCTCGCACCCATCCCTTCCTTTTGCTTTTCTTCCATGTTTCCTTCCTCTTCCTTTCTGCGTTTATCAGTTTATTAACAAATGCAAACACATTTTTCTAGTTTATGGTTTTTGCCTTAGTTTTTAATTTGAAAGAACTTATTTATAAACTCAAAATCAATTCAAAAAATATATCCAAGTTGAAAACTTTTTTTCAACAGAATATTTGAACTCTTTTTCAATTGAAAACACAAACAAAATATTTAAACAAATTAAAAACACAAAGTCTTATAAATTGCTAAGGGTGCTCGCGGTTTGGCGGTTCGGTTGCGGCCAAAGGAAGTTCAAATCCGCCATCCGTCCGCCAAATTAACGGATTGGAGAAAATCAATCCGCAACCGTCCGCTCGTCATCACGCACCCGTCCAAAATGCGGCGGATCGGTTCGGTTCGGTCGGTTTTGGCGGATCGGTATATCCGCTGCTCACCCCTAGTAAATATAATCAGAAAACTAAAAGCAAAAACATTACCAAACAGGCTTAATGAACTGTTTTTGAAAACTGTTTTCAGAAAATTCCAAAAACAACCCACTCTTTAGGAAACATAAAAAAAGTTTCAAAAACTGTTTTCGCACAAAAATGAAAACAATTCACAAAAAACGAAAGCAAAACCAAATTTGATCCTTAATATTGTCACTTACTGGTTCATGCTAGTTAAAATCCTTTCCTGCACGGATTCAGATTCTTCTTCTACCTGTAATAAATATGGAGCATCAAGGATATAATAGTAATCTATATAATGAGTTAAGATTGACAATTTGTAGAACCAAAAAACAAAAAATGGTGTGGGTTCTCAACATTGTATTGAATTTACTCATTGCGTCGATTTACAATTGTAGTATTTATACCTCAAAACAAGCACCTATAAGTCAGTCATTGGTCCTGGGCATAATTAAAAGTACCAAGAAAACCGGAAATGAGAAATCGACTACAGTTATATGCTGAAAGATTATTTTAGGACCCAAAGTAGTTGGTTTTGTGAAGACTGGAAAACAGATTAATGCAGTCAGATTTCTGATAATTCAGATGAGGCTTGATCAATTATTATCTGAGAGAGAGAGAGAGAGAGACAGAGAGAGAGAACAAAAATTAAAATGTTCTCATTTTTTGGAGCTAGCAAATGTACAGAGCAACCATCATCCATCAAATGCTATGCATAACAACAGAATATTTTCAAAGTCATGCAGCATGCAAACACCCAAGTAAAACAATAACAATGATGTTAAATATTCAAGTTTCACTTCAAGGTTGGAGAGATAGACATTAGTTTAGCATAAATAGAACACAAATGGTAAGGTATTATTTGGTGACGTTTACAGTTTATTATTTATTTTTGGTTAAAAAAATAATAATAATGTTTGGCAATACATGTTATTTACAAATTTTAATATGCAAATTATTACTATTATTAGTACTACTACTCCATATCAATCTTTTAACCTGCCATCAAATAGGCATTAAAACTATACACATTTTGCCCCCCGAAAGAGAATTCACATGCATTGTTGTCAAATCGCGAATCATTTAGCTAAAATAGTAAATCATGAATCATATCGAATTGTAAATATTTAGCATAATAGAAAATTTTATATATGTATATGTATCACATATATCAATACAGTTAATTTCTCTTTTTTATTTGCAAAAATGATACTGTTTCATACATTATGCAAACAATATTGAATCATAGCGAATCATAGAGAGAGAAATTGAGGCTCCATTTGTTTGGACGTGAAACCTTTTATTTTGAAAAATATTTTCATGCAAAACGTTTTACAGTAAACAATTTATCATTCATTTTATTTTACGGTGTTTGGCTCAAACTTAAAAATAAAAATAAACAAACAGCAGCTATCCATTGACACATTTTATCAAACATTCGACATACAAGGAAAATGGGAGCAAAGCTTACACACCTTCCAATCGAACTGAAATGAGACTGTAGGGGGGTTCAAGGTTAGGAAGATGATTAGAGAGGCAAAACTATGTTAATGGTCCAACAATGGTGGAAAGACTGGAGAGTGAGTAGCTAGGTGAGGGTGAAGTAGGCAGCTCAAGTAAAAATGAATGGCAGTGCACAAATGGGTAGTATCTCCCCCAAATTTCCAAAATTCCACTTTTTGGACTTTGGGAAATAGGTCCTATTTATAGGCTTTTCCTTGGTACTAAAAGGACACCAAATGGCCAAATAGCGAGAACACCAGTGTCCCTAAGCATCACACGGAATATTCTTCCTTGAGCCACCAGGCTGAAGGTGCCACGTGTCCCTCTGTATGTACTATGCGCTATCTGTTTGCCTCCGCAACTACCTTTTTGGGCCTTAGCAAGTGTAGTTACGATGGAAGTGTTTGGCGCTGCAACTCTCTTTTGAGCCTTAGCAAGTGCAATTGCGACAGGAGTATTTGCCGCAGCACTTGCTTTCTCAGCTCGAACCTCAACAAGTGCACTTGCAGCGGTAAACCTTGCTGTTGCACTTGCCTTCTCAGTTCTATTTAGCCAGTACATGCATTCTCAGGACTTTATTAGCCTGCTATCAGCTATGTTCGTGTTCATCTCAGCGAAACCTTCACCCTTAGCCACCTAACCACAAGCTTCCCAACTTCCCAGGGCGAAGGCCACAACCAGACCTGCTATGTTGTGCCTTAGTACCAAGCCTAAGGGAGCTTCCTTAGTCCTGCATGTGCGACTAAGGCAAGTCCATGACCTGGGTAATGGAAAGAGAGTCCCTTACACTCGGGCTGCCCTGCTCCCATCTTCGCGGGATTACCACGGTGAACTGGTATCTACGGGTCTGCTATCAGCTCCAACCAGTAAGTTTTACGACTTGCTATCAGCACCAAGTTAATGAACTTTGGGGCCTGCTATCAGCCCTGGGATAATAATACCTTGGGGGCTGCTATTAGCGCCCAGCATTAGCCTCTACTTGCAGAGGGGAAGCTTCTCCCAAAGCCTACTATCACCTTGGTGGGATGTTCCCTCCACATGCTAGTTGTGGCGGCTGTAGTTGCTGCGACAGTCGTTTCCCGCGGTAAGTTCAGATGGTAGAAACGGCGGCGCCGACAAAATACCTCCGTAACTTGGGCGCTGCAAGTACTACCTCTGCAACTTAGTTGCTTCGGCTTTCTCCTTCCCTCAGCAACTCCAGATGGTTGCAGTATCGACAATACTTGGAATGGCGGCGGTACCAACAATACTTGAAATGGCGGGGCTAAGATAAAGTGCCTCTGTAATTTGGCCGTATTGCCTCCGCAACTTAGTTGCTTCGACTTTCTCTTTCCTTTAGCAACATAAGAGGGCAGCGGAATCGACAATATTGTGAATGGCGGCACTGAGGCAAAGTGCCTCAGCAACTTGACTGCTGCATATGTTGCCCCTGCAACTGGACTGTTGCATGTGTTGCCTCTGCAACTTGACTTAGGCATTTTCCTTCGTGGAGTCTGTTTGGACCCTTAGCGGGTCGAACCTGCTTCGGCCCACTATTGGCCCACTTCCCTTGGGCTTTAGCCCATGCTCTTTTTTCATTCCTAGTCGCCTCAAAAAGGCAACCTCAGCACTTAGGCCGATACTTAATTTGGGGTTTAATTTCTGACCCTCTACATTTGTCCCCTGCGTGCGTGGAAGACACGCTTCTTGCTTCCCGCACATGCATAACTCCAATATGTAACCCAAGGGTTGCGCCGGTAAGGTCAGAAGTTGCTTCGGTTGTGCCAGGAGTTACGTCAATTTTCTGCAAAGTCATGATGGCTCTGAAAAGGTGTCTTTTGACTGATGGTCATAATGGGCCTAGGGAAGCATGTTGGCGCCTTTTTGCTGCTTTCTCTATAAATAGTGTCTCTTGGGTCCACTGGTCCTCCACTTCCACCACAATACACTTTCTTGTCTCCTTGTCTTCTTCTCTCTCTAGCCCCCTGCCTTCCAAAGTTTTTTTCTTATTCTTTATTCTACTTCATGGCTGCCACCAGGTTTTTACCTGACAGAGCTGTCCCACCCAGTACTGAGTGGAGGAGGGCTCCATACTTTAGTGGGCTTGCTGACCCATTCTGGAAGGTCGTTAACTCCTTTATTCCTGACGCCCCTCCTCTAGAAGAGCCTCTACTCCCTTTTGGTGAGGCCTCTCTGGATGACACTAACATGGTGAACCTAGTCTCTGTGCTGCGGTTTCGTGTAGAGCGTGGCGATTTTCCCCACTCATACATCTATTACCACACTCACTCGAGCCTTTTAGCGGACTGGTCTTTTTTGGGTTGATGATATCATTGTAGATGATGATTTCGAGCAGCGCTTGAGGGACATTCGTCTCTTCAGGGCCATTTTGATTTCAAGGGAGTTGTCCGTGCGCAAGGTTCAGACCAATACTGGCACGATTGTTTCCCGCTGGAGCCGCGACACTCACACCTTCGTCCTGGCTTGGGGAGGAGATAACCTTGACTCTGGAAGATGTTGCTGTTCTCCTTCGCCTGAGCACCCGTGGGGACTACCCTTTTGATCCCGCATCCCTGACTGCTGCAGAACAGACTGTTGTTACTGCTCTCCAAGGTGCCTTTCGGGAGACACGAAAGTATAGCTCTTGGTACGATCTCAAGACCGGGGAACTACTTCAAGAGAGGCCCAAGAGGGACAAGACCACTTACCTCTCCTGGCTTAAACATTTTTTCAAGGACATGCAACTAGTTATGGGTGACATTACCGAAGACAGTCGCGAGTCCATAGTTGGGCCGGGCTACCGCGGCAACTTGTACCTGGCCGCCTTTGTTAGTTATTTCATCTCCCTTTTTGTCCTTCCTAGCAACCGTGCTGAGAGCATCAATGCCTTGGTATTCCCTCTCGCTGTCAAACTTTATAGCGACAGTCTGATCCCTTTGGCTTCCCCTCTTCTTAGGGAATTTATACTTCCGTTTGAACCTCATTCATTCGGACAATGGAAAGATCCATGGGCCGTTACGACGTATGGAGCTTTGTTTACACCCAGTTCCTAACCGCCTTTTTCTACGAGCAGTTTCCTGCCATGGGCCTCGTTCCTAAAGAGCATGAGACTTTTTTACTGACGAGGTCCTTGATGTAGAGGATCATCCTGTCCTAGATGCAGAGGGACGGCCCGTCACAAGACAAGTGCACCACTCCCTCCCTCGCATCTCCAGGTGTTTTGGGGTTGGCACCAACAGGCCTTTTGTGGACTACATTGACCGCATGGAGAAGTGCATGTTCCGCCCTTTCACTCAGCTTCTTCTAGGCATCTTTGTTGTTCCGTTCTATTTTTCTAAGGCTCGTCATGTTGATTTTTCTCTTGACAGCGTCCAAGCCAACTCCCTTCTTATCGCTGCTATGATACGCCCCGGGTTTCTGCCCGTATGGAACGAAGAGGGCATGTCCAGCGTCGTCTATAGATCGAACAGGGTCCTTGGACAATTTGGTATAGATCAGGGTGTCCAACATGCCCCTTTGCCTCAAACAGATTTTCATCAGTGCTTCTAGCGGTTTGCTCGTGATTACACCGCTTTACTTGTGGAGGGTTTAGTCCTCATGGAGCTGCCCTCGCTTGGAAGAGAAGGCACCTTCACCCCTAGCAATAGGCTATTCTGGCACCGCAACCTCAACTCCTTCTTCAATTTTTGCAACAGTAACCCAGTCATCCCTGCAGTGGAACCCATTCAGCATCCTGACTTATCCTTTCGTCTCCTCTCTGGTCGCGGGAAG